TGCCAGCTCCTGCCAACCCGTGTCTGGGTGAGGAGGGCAGGAGCTGTCACAGCAACACCCGCAGCTCCAGCGGCTGGAACGTGCACACAGCCAGAGCCCCCATCCCATCCACACCCTCCCATGCGCTGGGAAGGCTCCCACTGATGCTGCACGGTGTCAGGCACACAGCCCAGCTAATTAAGATCTTAATATGATTAATCCTCACTCAGTTAATGAAGCCAGGGTGACCCTGAAAAGGGCCTTGACTGAGCCACGGTCGCTGGCTGTGAGACTGCAGAGCCCACAGAGCAAACTGCAGAGAGGGCTGGGGGTCCTGGGCTGGGGGTTTGTGGCTGCCCACAAGCCAGAGCCACAGCCAGGGTGCTCCATGCCAGGAGCCTCCATCCAGAGTTGAGGAAGCAACAAGAAAACTACAAAACCAGTGTATTTTTTATATCCAGAACCTTTTGTTTGATGCTTTTCCCAGCTGGGGTTCCTGGACACAACATAAATCAAACTTGGCACAAAGGAAAGTGTTTGCAAAGTTCTATCTCTGAGTCTTCCACTTATAGTGGTTGCAAACTCACTGATACTTTTGAAATTCTCAAAGGAAGTTTTTTTTCACCTCCCTTTTACATACACCAAAACAACTGAACCTTACAAGAGTCAGCTAAGAGGAAAATCAAATAAATTCCTCAAATGGCTGAGAGGATGAAAACGCCAGCCCAGGAAGAAGTATAGGCCTTTGGGAAGGAGGAGTACAAAAAGCAGTTCAGAGGTGTCAGATCTAAAGCCAAAACCTCCATGTTAAAATTACATCTGATGCAATTCAACACACGAACACGCAAAACAACACAGAAAAAAAGATGAGAAAAGAATTCCACATGGCAGGGAAGGATACCTAAACAAACACGCTTTAAAACATTCCCATAATCATTTCCCCACTGCAAACAACCTGCTGAAGGAAATCAGTCCCATATGGGACAACCTGATCAAGGCTTTGCCATGACACTTCTCGTGTGCAGGATTTCTTGTTCTGCCCTGAGATTCACACACATCTGCTGCACAAACACAACAACTTCGAGAAAATCAGGGACTTAGTGCTCAGTTAGAGTTAAAAGGTCCAAGGCTGATCTTGGATGATCTTTTAAGTCTTAAAATACGAGCAGCTCCGAAGGAACGTGTCATCCGTATCTCATTAAAGAAAACCCACAACAAAGATGAGGGGAAGACCTCTGCCAGATTTTAGACACGAGTGCAGAGAGCAGCTCATACTCCTTGGCTGCAGAATATGTGGCTGTGGCCAACTTCTTTTTGCAGGATGCTCCACACAAGCAGAAATCACAGCAGGCCAAGGCTACTGCTCTGCATCCAGCCAGGACACGGCTGCTCTGGTTCAGTGTGGGGTCCCCATCCTCAAGAGGACCCTTTAGAAATTAAACACTTGTATTTAAGCATCCCTCTCAGAAATAACGCCTCAGAGGGCAGCACTGATGCCTGTTAAATGTGTGTTCCTGATGCACATGGCACTGATGAATCATGTGAGTACACAATACAGAAACAGGGATTATGATTACCAACCCGTGTATGAATATTCTGTCAACTTCACAGTTTCACACCAATCCTCCTGCTCCAGGTATTCACCAGGGTGTATTAACATACACAAACCTGCAGGCTCAGTGGCTTTTCCTAGAGCATTTCCAAGTCTAATAACCTCGTTTATCTCCTGCTGACGATCAATACACAAACCCACCTCGTCAAAGCACCACATCCAATTTTTCGCCATTCTCTGCCAGTGAGTATTTAACTCACGATTCCAACTTTCTTCCTCATCACTTGCTCTAAAATTTCCTGTCAATTTTACTTTTACTCCATGTCAATTCAAATTTGTCTGGACACGGGGAACAAACAGGACTTGAGAAAACCATCTTATTTAATGATCCAGCCAAGCAGGTTCCACGTGAGCCAACCACCAACAAACCCAGGTGCTTTCAGCTCCAGCAAAATTCATCTCAGGACAGCAGGGATGTCACTTAGCATGGAAAAGAGAAGCAAGATATTAAACCAGATATTGATTACAGGTGCTTCTCCCACCCTCTGTGCTGGGAAGGCCTTTATTTGAAACAAAACAGGCCAGGGAAGTGGGCAGGGATGCAGAGGCAGAACCCGGTGTGGTCACACAGGAGAGACCTGAGGAGGGTTTAAAGACTCTGGACCAAGGAGTGTTGGGCCAGCTCAGCTGTTTTGATCAGGAGTGTCTGCACTTTGCTCAGCTCAAGGGCACAGTGGCACTGATCCAGAGTCCACAAGCTCCTTTTAACTGGGACCACTGAGTCCTGATCAGGGCAGGACCAGGATGGACATCAGCTGCAGACTCTGTGGGGTGAGGCAGGGCCTTTAGAACAAGGGCTGCTTTGTGAGAACCTGGGGATTTCAGAAATCATTCACACATCCAGTGTGCAAATGGACATTGGGAATAGAAAAGTCCCTCAAGAGCTTCACCTGAGCAGGTGTGGGGTGAGGGAAAACAGAAACATCTGACACTCTCCCAGTCACAGGGATGCCACCTAAGGCACCTCAGTGGTCAGAGAATAACCAAGCAGTGTCCTCAGAGCAAGATATATTTATTGTTCAGCAATCAACCTGAGGACAGCAGTGTGAATACACAAAACAACAAAGCCAGGTGCTCACCTTGGCTTTAGGACAGCGTGGGTGCAGCAAAGTCAGTCCTTGACTTCTCCCCATCCTTTGGGGAAGAAATGACATCAATCCCACATTAACACTTGTTTTGTGAGGTTTTTTTGGGGGGAGAAAAGGCTCGGGCAGGAATGGTTCTAACCTCTGCCACTTCATGATTCAACTCACAGTCCATTTGGGATCACACAGATCCAGGGAACCACACTGCCACAGCCACCAGGGCATGGCCACATTTCAAAGGGTCAAACCAGAGGATTCAGAAAGCTCCGTGAGAATAAGAGAGCTGGGGAACTCAACTCAAAATGCAGAGCCTAAAGAAGCCAAATCTATTAATTTTGTCAATTAAATGCTCACGAAATTAATTTTAACACAGTCCAAGTACACCCACAGGAGTCCAAGACTGACAACAAATGTCTAACTAGGAAAAACTCAAATGAATTGCAAAGATAACACCACTTTTTCACCCTCTGGAGCTCTGAGTTTCCCAGTTAAATCAGTATCAGTTTTCTTAAAAGAGCAAGCCATGGTTGATCTGGAATGTGTGGATTTAACACCAACAACCCAACAACTAAGCAATCATCTTCAGGCTGTGTCCCACCACAGAACTCAGACAAAATCACTTTGGCATCTTTTGATTTGAAGCTTATGAGCCTAACAGAAACATCCCTGTGAAGCACTGCGAGGCACTCACACCACGAGAAACTACCCTCACAGGCACCTCAACGCTGAGCTCTTCCTCACAGGCATTTCTTGGTATCCACGTGGATTTCTGATGGCTACTGGGGCCTGCCATGCCTGACAGCAGCAATGTATCATTTTATATTTAGCTTTTACAGCTGTTTTGCAGATTTCTGAAGTCTGCATCTAAACCTGACACTCCCACCCTGCTCAGTGGGAGGAACACAGGGGGAAGTGATAACTGGGGACCAGTGATGGGGAAAGTCAAGGCAGCCACCACAGCTCAGGAACTTCCCATACCTGCTTTGTTGGTTTTAATCCTGCTGCTGGTCCCACCGCCCCCGATGCTATCAGGTGGCAGCACGTCCTGTGGCAGGGTGACACATTTAATAGCACGTTGTGTGAAAAAGCACTTCCGCCTGTTTATTTTAGCCCTGCTGCATCATAATTTCCGCTCAGAAACAGAAAACTGATGCTCCCTCCTCGTTTTCTCTGACCTGCCCATGACTTCAGGCACCTGGATCATATCTCCTGTCAGCAAGTTTCTCCCCTAAGGTGAGGACATGAAGGCTTTGCTTGCCCAAAAACCTGCTCTGCTCCTGCCCCTGCGTGCAGCACTCCCTTTTTGGAATGGTCTAACCAGAATTGCCAGGACACAAACTGCCAACCACTTACTCAGCAGTATAAAAATGTTTTCTACTTAATTCTCTCCTCCTTTAAAGTAATTTAAAAATATCCCTCTTAAGCTACAACGGGGTGTTGAAGTAGTTTTAAAAGAAACAATTGTTGAGACACCTACTGCTCTTCCCTGAATAAGAAGAGCCGATTTTTGGGGTATTTGTTAACCTTCCTTACGCATCTCAGTTACCAGACTAGCATTCTCACCTGGTGTTATCTGGTCTCTGCAACTCCTCACAATTTAGTTATTCTAAATAATTTAGGAGTAACCTTCCTTCTCCACATCATCCTATTCAGGAAAAAAAGCAAGCACCAGAAATGACTGTGAAACTCCACAACAACCTCATTCCCCTACGAGCACTCATCATTTGCCACCCTTCAGTCATTTATTAACCCCAAAAGGGCTTTCCCAGGCATTTCAGGGAGCACCTCGCCATAGTTCGGAAAGCCGAATGCGGTGGTCTGGGAATCACACCTGCGGAGCTCCGGGACCACCGGTGCGGTGAGAAGCGAAGGTCGGACCCTTTCACCGGCTGCGAGGAGCGCATCCATCCCGATACCCGCACGGCACCGCCTCGCACCCACAGCCCTTCCCAGCGCTGCCCCGCACCTCCCGGCCCCGGGGGAGCCACCCTCGACCCCGGCCGCCGCCACCGGCCCCACCCACGGCACCCGCCGGGCCCGCACCGGGGCCCGCGGCGCGGCCCGACACCAACCTCGGGCACGTCCCTGCCGCCTTCACCGGGGCTCGGAGCCGCCGCGGCGCCGGGTCGGGCGTGACGCCCCGGCCGGGACAACCGCGGGTTCGCCCTTCCCCCGGTAAGGAACCCTCGTTCCCCGCCGCCCCGCCGGGCCCGGCGCGGCCTTAGCCGAGGGGCCGAGGGAAAATGGAGGCGGCGGCGGCGGCGAGCGCGGGGGGCGGAGCGGGCGAGCCGCGACCTCCCGGCGGGCGGAGCGGCCGCGCTTCCGCTTCCTGCGGGATGGAGCCGCCGGTGCTGCTGCTGCTGCTCCGGGTGCTGCTGCCGCTGCTGGCGGCGGCGCTGGGCGCGGCGGGGCGCGGCGAGCCCGGGCCCGTCACCTGCGGCTCCGTGGTGAAGCTGCTGAACGTGCGGCACAATGTGCGGCTGCACTCGCACGATGTGCGCTACGGCTCCGGTAACCGCCCGCCACCCCACCGCGCGTACCCGCGGTGGGCTGAGCTGGGTGTGATGGTGGCTCTCCCTCCTCCGCAGGCAGCGGGCAGCAGTCGGTGACCGGGGTGTCGGCGGCGGATGACGGGAACAGCTACTGGCGGGTGCGGGGCCGCACGGCCGCCGTGTGCCAGCGGGGCACGCCGGTGCGCTGCGGACAGACCATCCGCCTCACGCACCTGGGCACCGGCCGCAACCTGCACAGCCACCGCTTCACATCGCCGCTCTCCGGCAACCAGGTACCGCCCAGGAGCACCAGCCACGGTCCCCGGGCTCGGTGTCTTTCCCTGGGCAGGACGGGGCCCGCCTTGTCACTCGGGTCTTGGCTGGGTTGTCCCTTCTCATCCCGACTGGGTTCTCCTCGTCCCTCATGTTACTGCCAGCCTCACCTTCTTGCCCAGTCAGTCTCCTAGGTTCCCCCAACAGATGCCCCATATGTCTATTAGCATTTCCTAATTCCTGGCCCTAGATGTGTCCCCCATGTCCCCACCGGTCTCACCTTGTCCCCATTTCAGAGTGGGTCTCTCCTTAGGCTGGGTCCCTACCAGCACTGCCTTGTTCCCTGGTCCCATCTGAGTCCCTGCCAATCCCCCTTGTTCCCTACTCCCTCCCAGCTCCCCAGTGCCTTACCAGTCCTGAATCCCAGCCAGACCCTCAAAGTCCTAACAGAGCCTCAGTCACAACCAAATCCCTCTGCCCACCTCAACCCTCTCCTTTTTTCATCCTGGCCCAAATGAGCTGTTCTTCACCCCCAGGAGGTGAGTGCATTTGGGGAGGCTGGCGAGGGGGACTACCTGGACGACTGGACAGTGGTGTGCAGCGGGACCTACTGGGTACGGGACGATGAGGTGCGCTTCCAGCACACCTCCACCGACGTCTTCCTCTCGGTGACCGGGGAGCAGTACGGCCGGCCCATCCACGGGCAGAAGGAGGTGCATGGCATGGCCACCTCCAGCCAGAATAACTACTGGAAGGTGATGGAGGGCATCTTCATGCAGCCCAGCGAGGCCATCCAAATGGAGCAGTACCACGCCGAGTTGTGAGGGACAGACAGACAGACTGATGCGGAGCTTGTGGGCACTGCCCTGCTGTGTTTGGGACTGCTGAGCCCACAGAATGGCTCCTGTCCCCACCCTGGGACTGACACACACCACTGACACAGGGCCCCAGCACATGCAGATCCCGATGTCCTGAATTCAATGTGGAGCAGATTCCATTGTCCCAAATCTGACACTAAACAGGCCCCAGCATCCAGACCTAACCCAAAGCAGCTCCCAACATCCTAAAACCACTGCAAAACAGATCCCAGTGTCCAGACCTGACCCACAACAGATTTCAACATTCTAGATCAGCACAAAGCAGGTCCAACCATCTCAAATTAGCACAAAGCCAAGCCCAACAGACCTGAACCAAAACAAATTCCCAAGCTCCCACCCTGTCTCTTTGCAACCCACTCTGTCCAAGGACCTGCCCCTTAAAGGACTGCTGTCCCTGGGAGCTGTACCCCTTGCTGTACCCCAAACTACCCCTCATGCCCTGCAAGGACCTGGGGCCATAAAAGTGTTGAACTCTGCCCTGTGGTGTGGCTGTTTGTGTGGGGGATGCAGGGAACCTCTGGCACTGGGGGCCAGACCTGGTGTCATCTGCACTTGCCCCATCCTGATGCTGCCCCTGATGTCACCCACTTACCCCATCCCAGTGTCCCCCGTCCCCATCCCGGTGTCCTGCTCTCTCTATCCCTGTCCCCATCCCGGTGTCCCCCTGTCCCCAAGCATGTGCGATCCTGCTGTTCCCCCGTCCCCATTCCAGTGTCCCCCCATCCCCATGCCGGTGTCCCGTGTCCTGATGCCAGTGTGGTCCCGGTGTCCACCCGTCCCCATCCCGGTGTCCCTCTGTCCCCATGCCGGTGTCCGTGTCCCCATCCCGGTGTGCATGTCCCCATCCCGGTGCCCGTGTCCCCATGCCGGTGCCCGTGTCCCCATCCCGGTGCCCGTGTCCCCATGCCGGTGCCCATGTCCCCATGCCGGTGTGCATGTCCCCATGCCGGTGTGCGTGTCTCCATCCTGGTGTCCATGTCCCCATGCCAGTGTGCGTGTCCCCACGCCGGTGCGCGTGTCCCCACCCCGGTGTTCGTGTCCCCACCCCGGTGTGCGTGTCCCCACCCCGGTGTCCGTGTCCCCATGCCGGTGTCCGTGTCCCCATCCCGCTGCCCGTGTCCCCATGCCGGTGCCCGTGTCCCCATGCCGGTGTCCGTGTCCCCATCCCGCTGCCCGTGTCCCCATCCCGGTGCCCGTGTCCCCATCCCGGTGCCCGGTGTCCCCATCCCGGTGTCCCCATCCCGGTGCCCGTGTCCCCATCCCGGTGTCCGTGTCTCCATGCCGGTGCCCGTGTCCCCACCCCGCTGCCCGTGTCCCCACCCCGATGCCCCGTCCCCATCCCGGTGTCCCCACCCCACTGCCCGGTGTCCCGTGGCGGTGCCCGTGTCCCCACCCCGGTTCCCGGTGTCCCCACCCCGCTGCCCGTGTCCCCACGCCGGTGCCCGTGCCCCCATCCCGGTTCCCGGTGTCCCCACCCCGGTGTCCGTGTCCCCACCCCGCTGCCCGTGTCCCCGTGCCGGTTTCCGGTGTCCCGTACCGGCGCGGCCCCGGCGGGGCGCTGCGCTGTCCCCGGGCAGGCCCCGCCCCGTCCCGCCCCTCCCAGCGGCCACTCGGGGTGCGCGGGCGGCCCCACGGGCGGCGCCGGGGCCGGGCCGGGCCGGGCCGGGCCGGGGTCTCCGCGGGGCCGGGGCCCGCAGCGGGGCCGTGCCCGCCATGCCGCCGCCGCTGCCCGCCGCGCTGCTCGGTGCCGTTCTCATCGCGCTGCTGGCCGGGCTGCTGGCGCGGTCAGGGCCTGGCGGCTCCGGGGGCGCGGGGGCCGCGGCCGGGCGGGACCGGGGTGCGGTGGGGCTGCGAGGGGCTCGCCGGGGCCGAGGGGAGGCCCGAGGGGCTGGCAGTGGGGGTGAGGGTGTTTTGGGGGTGGTTGGGGGATGAGGGGGAGGTGTTGGGGGTCTGGAGGAGGGAAGCAGAGGGTAAGGGGGACAAAGAGGGCTTAGGGGGGTGTCAGGAATTTGGGGGGTTCGCAGGGATGGGAGACAGGTGTGGAGGGGAGCCTGCAGGGGATTGGGGAGTTGGAGAGGTTGGTGTCAGAGGCTTGGGGGCTTGGAAAAGTTCAGAGGAGCTCACAAGGGTGGGCATAGGGTGCCAGGGGGGTGTGGAGGCCTCTGGTCTTGGGAGAGGGTTGTCAGGGATTGTTGGGGGTGGTCCTGCAGGGTCTCTTCCCCACCATGAGTCCATGTGAGCTCCTGTCGAGGTGTGGGTGCTGCAGCCGGTGCTCAAAGGACAAAGAGCATCCCTAGACCCCAACCCAATGGAGAAGCTGACCCTGGCTTTCGCCCTGTTCCCACAGATGGCTGGCATGTCGCCTGGCTGTCACCTGGTGCCGGCAGAAGCTTCATGCAGAGCTGAAGATCGGCTCCTTTGGCTTCTTCTGGGCCCAGAACATCAGCCTCAAGTTCCAGCGGGAGCAGCAGACTGTGGTGGGTACCTGCGCAAGGGGTGGTCGCTGGCAGACAAGGCAGGGAGGGTGGTTGCTGTCACTTCCAGGCTGGCAGCAAATCCTTGGAGCCACTCTCCTGTTGAGCACCTCCATGGTTGGTGCCAGGCCGTTCCTCCCATGGCCAGACTTGGGGGTTTGGCTGCTCCTTGCATGATCCCAGGCACTGAGAGTGGAGTGGGAATGTTGATATGAGCATCACAAGGCGGAGCCAAGTTGTGTCTTCTCTGACCCACCTGTGTGTCCTTACAGGAGATCGACAACGTCTGGATCTCCAGCAAGCTGAGCCGGGAGCTGCCGTACGTGCCCCCACCCCAGCTCCCTGCCTGCTCCCTTTGGGGGTCTGGCTCACCCCTCGCCCTGCTTGCCATCCTGCTGCCTTTACACCTTTCTGCCATCCTTGTTGGCCTGTGGTCAGCTCTGTGAGGGAGTGACCCACGCTTGGAGGTGACAGTGTCTTGTGGGTGCCCGTGTGCTGGTCCTGCACGTCCCTGGGGTAGGGGAAATCCCTGGTGACAGGGCCAGGTGTGCCAAGTGCGAGCTCTTGTCAGAGCTGCCTGTGCTGTTGCTCCCCAGGCGCTACTTTGAGCTGTGTTTTGGCGAGGTGCGAATCCGCACAGATCTCCAGAAGGGGCCTGCGTTCCAGCCGTCCGTCCCAGAGGCTCCCAGAGAAGCTGATGGAAATGAAAGCAGGACAGACCTGACCCTTAAACCCTCCCTGCTGAAGCTCCTTAGCCAGGTGAGGCACTGGCTCGGTGAGAGGCTGCTGCGGGCTGCGCTGCTGTCTGATATCCCTCACAGCAGCACCTTCTCTCCAGCTCTTTTCCATCCACATGGATTCCATCAACATCATGGTTCTGCACGTGGCCACCTCAGAGTCTCTCTGGCACATCCAGGCCAGCCAGACACGTCTCCTCCTCAATGGCAATGGGAAGAGGTAAAGCTGTGCTCGTACCCCTGTCTGCTTCCAGGGTGGGGGAGCTCCTCTGACCCCAGCCTTGTGTCTGTCCTCTCTCTGTCCTACTCAGCAGCATCCCATGTCACCTGTGGTGTGACGCATTAACCTCCTCTGAGGCTGGCCTGGTTCCTTTTCCTGTCACAGGAAGCTTGAGTTGTGTGTTCTCTAAATAATGTGGTATGCATAGAGTTAGGGAATGCACTGCTTTTGGGAGCACTTGGAGCAGGGACCTGGGGGTCCCTGTGTCCCACAGGAAAGAGGGCAGGAACTTGTTTTGGCAGCAGCAAGACCCACATCCTCCTTCTGTTCTCTGCTCTCCCCAGCCTGACGTGCGAAGTGAGCCTGACAAAGGTGAACAGCAAAGTCCTCCGGAGCAGCCAGCTGGTGAGTGCTGGAGGAGGGAGAAATTCCACACTCGGAACCTGGGCACTGGCTCTCTGGGACATGCTGAGGACCTGTCCCAGGCTGTCCCTGAGGCTGGGTGGTGCTGGGCTCTGTGCTGTGTCCAGCTCTCCACCCGCAGCACGCACTGGGAGCGCACTGTGTGACTCCCTGTGTGCTCCCTGCTGTGTCCCCTGTGCCCAGGATGACACGTGCCTGGCAGAGCTGGCCCTGGCACTCTCGCTCTCCCTGGAGATCAGCAGCAAGCGGCGGCTGGTGGGCGTCCGGCTCTGCGTCCGCACGCTGCAGGCAGAGCTGCACGAGGGCCTTTTCTGCAGCCCCCTCCTGCACCACGTCACTGCTGGGGCCCAGCACAGCAGCGTGGAGGAAGAGTCCAGCACAGGTCAGGACAAGGACAGGGACAAGCTCTGGGCAGGGCAGGGGCTGGTGGCCCCCGTAGTTGCACTGGAGCCAGAGGGATTTGGCTGTGGGATCACTCCCTCCTGCTCCCGAGTGTGGGGGTTTGGACAAGTCCTTCCCCTCTCTGTGCTTCTCCAGGTCCAGGGGAGTCCTCGAAATCCCTGTCTGTGCTGAGCAGAGACACCCTGAAGCTCATCCCCAGGAGGGTGGAGATGAAGCTGGAGAACACCAGCATGGTGCTGTCCATGAACAGTCAGAAGAGGTGAGGGGCAGGCTGTCAGAGTCCAGAGTAGTGCTGGGGACATGGACCTGGGGACAGCTGTGCCATTCCCTGCTTGTCCCTTGGCTCTGCTACACTGCACTCAGTCCCACTCCAGTGGGAAGGACTGAGCTGGGCCTGGGGATGGGCTCTTAGGGAGGGAGGAAGGCACGTGAACTGGTTCTCCAGTAGGACAGCTGACAGCATCCTCAGGCAATGGGATGAGAGCACTGGGCTGTGCTGCAGCTGGGCTGCTGTGTTTGTCCATGCCAGCGTGCTGGTCAGCTGGTGATGAGAGACAGGGAGATGGAGGACATGACAGTGCAGTTCCCTCCTGGCAGCGACTCCCTGTGTCTTCCAGGCACCTCACCTGGAGCCTGAAGCTGCTGCAGTTTCTATATCAGCGTGAAGAGGAGCAAATCCCATTGCGCAACTTCACGCCCACCTCAGACCTGGACCAAATGAGTGTAGACCTCCAGCTGGAAGGCAAGTAGCCAGGAGAGCACAGATGAGGCAGGGCTACCATCACTGCCCTCTGCCACCCCTCATTTGTCCTCCTCTGTCCCCCCAGATGGTCTTCTCCTGTCCCAGAGCCGCCAGCGCATCGTGTGCCTCAACTCCCTGAAGACCAGTGTGCAGGTGAGCGAGCGCTGGGCACACTCTGTCCCCTGGGGGTGGCTGGTTTGGCTCCTGGCATGAGTTTTTTGCCACCTGGCCCTTTCCCTGCTCTAGGTCACAGCCATTGACCTCTCGGCTGCTGTGCTGCTCAACACCTGCATCATCCACTACCGTCACCAAGAGTTTTCGCACTGGCTGGGCCTGTTGGCACAGGAGTACAGGTGCCAGGCGGTGCCTGTCCCCAGCCAAGGGCACAAGGGAAGGTAAACTTGGCCTCAGTGCAGCTGCTGGTATCACAGCTTGTTTCCTCTTGCTGGCCACACTCTGGCATGGTGCCTGGGCACTC